GTCAATGTATACAATCCATTTTATGCATTTCAGTTACTTTGTGTTTTAAGATACGAGTTTGAGAAAGTAAGGCGATCGACGATAAGGAATAAATGATTATTTGACTTTGACCTTGACTTTACTTCGAAGAGAATACTATCCCACTCTGGCTTGGTGCCTAATGCCTAACATTTTAATTTTGCCTAGTCATACATTAGTCATCATTAAATTGCTTAGTGCCCCCTAATCGTGAAATATTTCTAATTAATTAACGCTCTGAACTAAATGAAATGGCGTGATCGAGCAAGTAAACGAGGTGTACCTAATGTCAAAAAATTCCTATTTTACCCTCAATATAGCACGAAAGTGGCGGCCGCCACGCGGTACTTCTAGTGTTGTTTCGTATAAGACACAACTTCACGTACAGGTAAGTTCGATTAATCATTAAAAAATTGTTATTATATTTTATTCGTTACGACACATTTTTAAAGAATATTACATAGGACCGTAAAATTTAGTTTTTGAAATATCGTACATCGCCGAATTCAAAAATCAACCTGGGCCCTGATTTTAATCAAATCTGTATTGATCCCATCGGGTAGCCCATCCGCAACATTATACACCTCGACTCGGAAAAAACGCACTTTCCGATCGGGAGAGGCAATCAAAATCAAGCTGCTGGATCAAGACCACCGAATTACGTATTTACACTTAAAAAGTCCTGAAATCGGCCACAAATATCCAGATGTACTCTCCAGCCACAGAGGCGTGATGGGCGAACAATACGCACTAATTGCGAACCTTCTAAAATACTTCACTTGTGATGTGTACCGTGACTAGTAACTACCACCGTATTCCGTATAAGCGTGGCAATCTTGGTATTGTGATAAAACTATTGTCTGGTTTATTGTGAAATTTAGCTTATAAATGGGTACTGTGATCTAATGTAATAGACGTGAAATAGTCTAAATTAATATACGGTTGCAATTTTGAGAAAAATGACACTTTGTGTTGGATTCTGTTTTCAGGACACGCCATCGTTGTCTGGTTTTAGGTATTTCGGATTTTTCCCGTTAGATCCGAAAGGTTTATTGTGAACATTTTGTGCTCTCCAAATAGCTTTTGACCTATATTATACACTCCTTTGAGTTTTGTGCAAGGACACTGAAAATTGAATGGATGGACCAAACCATCTACTACGTTAGTGATGGCAAAACTATATAAAATTGTTTATTTATTATTAATGTGCAAATATTATTTTATATTCCATCACTTTGTTTATATTTACGGGTAATATTATAATCAGACGTATTATTAGACCTATCTTCTATAGATTTGCACACTAACCTGCCTCTTCACTACTTATACGCGTCAGAAAATGTGCAATATAATACGTCTGTAGTGATTCCAAGAGTGGATGGACAAGATTTTATAACGATGGAGCACTAAAGTTATGGTCCCATACAAAAAATACACATTTTATATTTTCCTACTAAACTATTCGATTCATGGCAAAATGTGATATGACAATGTTTAATTAGGACAATAGGATCTCTCGATTGCCTTTTTTTTGAGAGGTATCGTGGAAAAAAATCCTATGTCCGCAATATCGCTGATCCGACTCACTGTGTCGCAAAGTTAAACCAAATATAGTGTATAATTTAATGTACTTATGTGATTTTCCGTCATATTGTCGTAAGGCAGTCTCCATTTTCTGTCTATGTTCATCGAAGATTAAGTAAAAAAACTCTACCTATTCCGATCCCTGGTTATAATCGACAAAAAATTCAATTTGCTAAATAAAATGCTATGAAATAAAAGGTGCTAATTGCTGTGTGCATATTTGTAGCTGTGAATGTAATGATATTATAAAAAAAATGTTAGTAATTGGTCCGTAGAAAAAAGATTTCATGCACAAACCTTTGTGCATGAGTCCTACTCTTAGTGGTTGGAAAAAACTAAGGTCCTACTCCCAATTGCCCGGGTTTTTTCTTAGCTACACTTATATATTATGTAGATATGTGCTTTGCTTTGCTTCCCAAGTATGTAATATAAATTTTAATAAATTATAATTAATTACAGATCATCGTGAACGCAAGTAGGTATGCGACCTGTGTGTGAACTGTGTGAGTAAATTGTGTTTAACAATAGATGTTCATAACTCTGTGAAGGTTTATTTGTTTATAAACTATACAAAACATTTAGTGTATAATAATATTTTCATGAGACTGAAGATGCATAAACAACCGCGTGAAAAATCAATACGAATAGCAGACACAGACGTCGAGGACTCACAAGTCTGGTATTTTTACACGATGATTTTGTTGAGTCACTGTAGGCAATTTGTAAACTCGCATCGAGTTACGCGCAACACCCCGCACCAGTCGCCCGTTAACATCATCACGGTTCATAAGTCAATATGGTCCGGAGTTTGGAGATACTTCACATAGCTCTAGCCGTCTCAGCCGTCACCTGCGACATCGCCCGCGACAGGAGAATCAAAAAGAGGGTGTTTGAGGATAAGGCGTTGTGGAAAAAAGAGTATGAAGACGAGCTGACGGACGCAATGCTCACCAGCAAGAAACGAGACAACAGCACCAGGGTGCAACAATCCGCAGTGCTCTCCGACAACGAGGCTGTGGTTGAACGATTGATGGATTCTATTACCTCCAGTGAAAAGTACTTAAAAAAAGTCGACAGTATAGATTTTAGGCTTAACCGTTTGGATATTGAAGTGCATGAAAAAACAAATAATATAATGAAACATTTAGCTGAAATCCAAAAAGGACTTCGCGGCAGTCGTTCTGACAAAACACAAGCATTATTAGAAGCTCTCAAGAATGAAATATACCAAATAAAGTTTCAATTAGAGGGTGCCCAGAAACCGGGTCACGGTAACGGACATTGATATGTAGTTGTAGATGTATTGCATGTATTTACGCCTTACATAATATTCGCCTGTCACTTTACAATAACAACATAATACTAGCAAACCTTCCTACGTAAATAATAGTTGTTAGAAACAGTTTAAAAATAATTTTGTGTTAAACAAATTACTACTATTTAGATTAGTGATTAAAAATTGTAATGGCATTTGTGGTAGGTTGGTATATACACAATCGTCATCTCAAATAGCTTAGTTTTCGTTGTAATGTGATCGCGTGGTCCCACGTGTTAGTCCCACTCGTCCGTAGTGTCACTAAATATCGTAAGTACTTTAACACAGCCAAAAATGAATTAATCCCTTGCGTGGTCGACGCCCCGGGTCTGAGCTGAATCGACGGTAAAAAGCCGGACGGTTTGACGTTGGTTCCTTGGCGGAAAGGGAGTTAGTTGTCTTCTGTGAGACGCAAGAAAATTTATAAGTATTTTGCTGCGTCCTACTTAAGGGACTACACAAACTAACTACACAAATTTCGCGGTTGGCGGGTTCCGCGGCTGAAAATGCTGCAAAACGAAAACATGCTAAATATTCTGCCTTGGAGCTGATGTACGACGTCGATGGTGGCGATCAAGATGGTTGGGCCCTGAGGTTCGGAAGCTCAGGACTTATTTAAAGAGTTGGGTCGCCGATTTAGAGACAGAGGCTGCGATCACCGCTCTGGGGTCGTGGTTGGTTCAGCAAGTGTCCATTGCCGTCCAGAGAGGCAATGCTGCCATTATAATGAGAACTTTTGAGCCGGCCACGATACAGGGCGGGATTTCTTTTTCAGGTTAGATTAGTTTTTTAGGTTAAAAATCTCTTGAAAATCTCAGTTTTTTTATGTTAGTGCCTTTTTGACTTTTTGATTGACGAAGCCCAATGCTGGTCTTTAACTAGAAATATCATATTTTACTTAATGTTATTGAGTAATTCATGACTATTGACGCAAGTATTGGTTTGTTTTCTTGAAATGAACGTGAAAAGTTTTAAGTCCTCTGTAACAAACAAAGGATAAAAATAGATTTTCATATACCATTAGGTAAAAATTTACATGTAGGTACATAAACGGGGAGAAGTTGTAATTTTAACAAACCAAAGCATCCGTCACGCAGGCACGCAAGCACGTTTCTCTGACAGATTTAACCCAAAATCCGTAATAATCTATTCGTTGTAATTGATCTGTCTTATTTTATGGAGTAACAATGTCTGACGCAATTCGTCAATATAAGAGACACAAAAAAATAAAAGAGGCACCCAGACATACGGAAGCAAGGGTCTCATAACTAGAGATGGGAAAAACTGCTTATATTTTTAAACGTTTAAACGTGCTTTTTTAACAAAAGCGTCCTCTATTAAACGCTTTTCACTTAAACGCTTTTTAGCTTACAAAATCGTTTAGACTTTTATGTTAAAAAAGCTTGCGACGTTGTATTCATAGCGAAAAGCAAGAGTAGACCACTAAAGGCAGTGATATTATACTTGTTATGCTCACTGACTAAAGGTTTTAAGATAAGTAAGTTTATTTGTAAAACACAAATTTTAATTTTGTTTATAAACATTGACTTACAAATAAATGGACGACGGGTCTAATACAAAAACAGCGAAAAAAATGTCCCAAATCAACCTATTTAAACGTAGTGACATGTAAAGGAGTATGAAAAAGCTAAAACGTTGAATTTAAATTGTAGTGTTATCGCAGTACTGTCTAATTTTGCTTGCTTCGCTGTCAGTCGAACAAACGAAGACTAAAGCGTGAATGACGCTCTGTATACGATTTTAACGCCCTATAAGTTCGGACACTTTTTAGCGCGGACCCGACGTCCATATAATTGTAAGTCAATGTTTATAAAGTTATTTTTCACATTGGCGAATTAATTTGTATAAGAAACATAGATGGCGGGACTTGAAACATATGCACATTGTTAACACTTACGCTTAAATTTAAAAGCGTGCTTATGTGCTTATTTTAAAAAGCAAACTTGTGCTTTTCGTTTAAACGCCCGCCTCTACTAATAACATTTCAAGAATTCAACGAGAATAGAATATAAATAGTTGTTTGTCCGATTATTGGAAGCCATTTCAGTGGATATGATTTCAGTGGACGGCGGTGATTTTCACGCCGACGCCACGTTGGACTCGCGCCTCTCATTGATGGAAACACAGATTAAAAACATTATGTCCGGCGTCGACTCTATCGTCTCTATCATCTCTGAGGTCAAGACACGGAATTCCGCAAGAACTTACACTACCAAGTAAGCATATGTAATAATACAAACACAGTTTAGTCTAAACAGTCTATAATTGGTATTGGGCCGCCGCGGCTTACTACGCCCTAAAACCTCTCTGTCGATTAACAACAAAATGCAAGGCCAACAGAGGTTATACAGCTATATAGCTATATTTTGGGGAAATTACAGGCACATGGGACTTGTCAACTTATGCCTCAGGGTGACGGGCGCAGTGGCAGTTCTCATAGGTGCGAAAGTTAAACAGCTGTTATAAATCATTTGTTGATTTAATAAACAACAAAAAAGTTGTGTGAAATCTCAAAACTCATCTCAAACCTTGTACAAAATTAACTAAAGCTGTTTTATAAGTTCAGTACACGATTAAATTTTAAGGCAAGTACGATTTGTTATCGACACTTTGCATTTCTTATGCCAAATTATTCAGCTAATTTTAATTATATTCAAAATTAAAAATCAAGAAAATAATACAAAAAGTAATAATCACATTTATATTTATGATGAATAATTTGTTGTAAAAAAATTATCAAGATGTGTTTGAAAATCAAAAAGTTATCGCACGTTATGGGTTTTTATGTTAGCGTTATGTTAATGCTGATTTGTTATGTAGGCGTAGTCAGAATCAAAGTGATATAGGGAAATCTCAATTTTATCTACATGTTCAGAGTGTACAAAATATTTGCACACTCGATTTCAGTCAATACATGTAAATATGTTGTATATTACTTTTTAAATATTATTTAATGTTTTTAATATAAACAGACATTAACTGTGTTTATACAGGTCGGACCTCGGGTTGGATTCCATGACACTCATAAACGAGTTCAGGAAAACTTTGCACGAGTCCAAGAGGAAATGTGACTGCAAGTTAGTGAGACCTAATATTTAACTACGTAATATGTTGTACAGTAAGTGTTAGTACGCGTACTAACACTTACGTACGCGAACGTGTAACCATAATTTAACTAGTTCTGTACGATCGGGCGCTGTACATATTAAACATTTTTGAAACTACTGCAAGTATGTGGCAGGATTCTTCACTACCTTAAATGAAGAGATATCAATCCGTAAGCCAATATGTTTGTTCCTCTCCCTCGAAAAAAAACCGTGTCTAACGGTGTGATGTATACGGGTTGGTAATGGTCTAAATAATATTCAGCTGAACATTGGAAATACATACATAGGTACCTATGTACATGTTGGCTATTGCTGAATTTATTCATTTTCCTTTTGTGTATCAGATCGGGTCGTGTGGATCGCTCTGAGCGGTACCCGACAGACTGCCACGAAATCCAAATGCAGGGCTTCAACGTCTCCGGAATCTACAAAATCAAGCCAGACGACATGGAGCCCTTCTATGTGCTTTGCGATCTCACCACGGCAGGTGGAGGATGGACTGTAAGAAATCCACTTACCTATACATATTCCGTTGTACGATTTGACTTCATTTTATATACCTCGCCTCTGATTTGTCGAAGGTACTGCAAAACCGTTTTGACGGTTCTCAAGATTTCTACAAAAGCTGGAATGATTACAAGAATGGTTTTGGCAATCTAGCGGGAGAATTTTGGTTAGGACTGGAAAAGCTCAATTACCTCACTAACCAGAAGCTATACGAACTGAGGATAGAGATGGAAACGCAGCACGGACAGGAGGCGTATGCGGGATTTTCGGTATTCACAGTCGGCCCAGAACTTGAAGGATATAGAATAAGCACTCTTGGAACTTATTACGGCACTGCAGGTACATATTTTCTCGCTACATAATCGTAATATTTGATCTTGGCCCCATTACAATGGTAGTATTTTTTTACATGTACTTATTTGATGCAGGCGACTCGTTGTCGTATCACGCTGGACAAAAGTTTTCAACGATGGACTCCGACAATGATGAGTGGAAAGACGGCGGTTGTGCAATAGAACACGGAGGGGCCTGGTGGTATAAAGAGTGTGATAAAAGGTATTTTATTATACTTGTATTATTAAGAACAAGAAAGTGCTTTAACCTCTGTGCCCTCTTCACATTTTTAACAGATTAATCAATTATTTCAATATATTTTCAGCAATCTCAATGGCAAATATTCGACTACAGCGGACGAGCACAGGGGACAATCAATTTATTGGATATCTTTCAAAGGGCCAAATTTCCCACTTACAAAAACAAAGATGATGATCAAGCCATTACCCGCGAGTAGACCGAACGACCTGGTTGAACAATCCAGGGTAAAGTATGAACCGGCTGTTCTGCACAGATCCTATTTAACTTAAACACAACTCTTCTCTCGCACGCTGTTCCAACCGCACTCGCACTCTGATTGCAACGTGACATTCCTACTTCACACGTAAACCTAAGAAAGCACGTAAACCTAAGAAAGCACGTAAGCCTAAGAAAGCACATAAGCCTGAGAAAGAACAGCTCATGTTGTTGCAGAAAATTATAGAAAGTTCGAAACAGAGGACAAAAGCAACGGAAACCCAAGTTAGTCGTCCAAAGGAGACAAATAGCGGCTACGACGCAAATAAATTCCACCGTGATGGTCGCAAAGAATTTTTCACAAGTTACGCATGAAAATAAGTAGGCAAACTCACCGAAAGGCCAAAAATTCGACAATAATTATACGAGAATGTTAGAACACAAAATGAGTATTGTGTTCTTGGATATATAAAAAGTGTTTCGTAAACACTTTTCGCCAGAAAGTTACATTGCACAGAGACAACTAGTTTGTAATTTTAAAACATAAGTCTATTGTTAAATAATTGATAAACGACTACAACAGAATTGTATAATGTACGACTATTGTAATAAATCCTTTGGGTATACAAAAACATATAATTACCAAAGGATTAACAAGTGTTCACAACACCGAACAACTGATATAATTAAACATCGGAAATAAGCGTTATTCCCGAACTGAAGTTGTTCAATGTCACGGACACTTTCAAAAGTATTATTGCATATTTTTCTGTCTGTATAATTTTTCATAAGGGGCATACGGTTGAATGTTCCGATTTTTTATATACGATTTTTGTTCCAATTTACTTTATAATCGATTTACGCAACCTATTTTACCAGATATGATAATGAGATAAACAGTCTGGTATTCAAAAATTAGCAGCTCTTCTACAGCTTTATTAGACGTCACGTCAAGTATCCTTGAAACACAAAGACTCCGGGCAAGAAACGATCTTGATGATGCTCGATTTTTCTCGAGCATTCGATTGTATGAATATTCAGCTACTCTAACCAAACTATCATTTTATGGGTTTTCTGCATCAGCAATAGTGGTTTGATAGCTGCCTTAATAACCGTTCTCAGCGACTTGATGTTAGTAATTTGGATGGTTCGATAAACTCATCCAGTTTATTTATCGTGGATAGAGGCCTTCCTCCAGGATCAATTTTATCCCCTCTGCTCTACATTCTTTACAGTGTTGATATAACAAGCTGTATTAAACATTGTAGCTATCAGATCTACGCTGATTACCTGCAGCTGTACCTGTCCTTCAACTCTAAGAATACTATATCTGCTGTAGAAAAAATAAACTACGATCTCAATAGTATAGTTGAGTGTTCCCGCAGAAATTTTCTTGTACTGTCCCAGCAAATCTAAATCATCTTCATATCATGGGATCGTAGAATCATATTACCAAGATAGCGAACAAGCATACCAACATTGTGATAGAAAGTGAGAGCGTAGAAAGGACTCGAGCTCCAAAAAATCTTGGAGTATTAATGGATGATATTTGAATCGCACGTACTGGATGTAACTCGAAACTGTTTTTTCCGGCTCAGAATATTATGAGTGAATTTCTCGGCGAGCAGCTCCGCACACGCCTTTCTGATTCCTTGGTACTATCAAGATTAAACTATGCGGACGTAGTGTACGGGCCGCGAATTTTGGTAAGAACGAAAAGACTAGTACAGAAAGTGCAAAATGCATGCGCTCAAATTTGTTTTCATATACCCCCGCGAAGTTATGTATCCCCGTTTCTTAATGAAGCCAAATGCTAGACATGTCGTCGCGAAGGTATTCCCATTTAGCCACGCTTCTATTTGAAGCGATGAAAAGCAAAAATCCTTTTTACCTCCTTAAACGTCTTATATGGACTAAAAGAGCAAGCACCTGCAGCAAAACATAGAAGTTCGGCATATAACGGCAGTTTCAAATAATCCGCGGCGAAAATTTGGAACAACACACCGCTACCAGTGCGTTTTTCACAATCGCTTATACTTCCAAAAATAAACTCAGAGAGCACATTTTAATACAGCAAAATACGCCTGGAGAAATTTTATTTGTGTAGCGCACCGAGAAACAATATACATGAAGACAGAGTGAACTAATTGAAAACGCTGTAGGCATATGGCAATTTTATTTTTTTATTGCGCGTCCTCAATTTTATATTTTCATTTTAGTTTTATTTGTTACTTTTAAATCGCCCACTTTGAAAAGGGTCGACTGAAAACCTGCGCTGCGGTTAAGCATAAAATCATAATATTGTACTTGTAACGGTGTTTGTGTTGAATAAGTTTATTTTCTTTCTTTCGTTCCTTCTTTCTACTCTTTTTATGTATTTTCTAATAAAAAAAACTATGTTAAAGTTAAAATGTAAGTTATATTTTTATTTAACTATGGAAGACTAAATCTGTTGTTGCGTTAAGTCACTGCTAAACCGGCAATAAAGTTTGATGTGAATTTTTAAATTGTATGCCAATAAATAAAACCAAACCGATATCAGTCTCATTCCATTTATTTTACCTAATTTTATTGTAAACAGCGTTTGCATAGTTGAGCAATGTATTGGACATAGTATTCCATTCACAAAGACGTATAGCGTGGCGACGCCAGTAAATATCCAGATAGAGAGTATTTTTTCACACAGCAACGTATTTACACTGGTACATGTACATTGGTCAACTGGCAAATTCAATAAACAATTAAGAACTAGTCATAATACGGCTTAGACTACATTATGATCAGTAAATGTTATCATTATTTTATAATCATTAATTTCAAATATTCACAAACGTCTCCACGCATTTCAAAGGTTTCCTGAGCGCATCAGAGAGCGCTAGTGTCCATCGCGTGACGTCAACCAACGAACAAAGAACATATGTTTTATAACTTAATGAGTGAAGTTGCGAATCCGTGCTTTGCAAGAGAGACTAATGGGCTAAAAGAATAACATTATGTAATTTTACCATATCAATTTATGAACAATCAGCAGGCTAGACACTGTCGTTATAACTGGGGAATTTTCATTCTGTTATTAAGTACTATTTCCGCCATTATAAGCACTACACTGTTAGAAACAAAATAAAGCCTTTACTTAAATGTGAGTAATGGCAGTCAGTATTTCTAAGCGTCTAGTCGGCTATACAAGGCACACATCGATTACCCTTCAATTCCTTAAAGTTTTCAATATCATAATTAATTGTGTGGCCTGATACAGATTTTTATATCATAATTATAGTAAAAGTGCGCAATGTTATTTGCTGATATACAGTCCCTTTTACACATATTGAAATTACTACTACAATTTTATACTAATATTGACTGTACTGTATAGTACTAGGATTATAATAGACATCAATTCAGATTATAACTGTTCGGTTATATATTGTACACACTGATAAGATACAACTTTAAAAATGCTTACATTCGTGTATTGTGGTAAAAACTTGCCAAAACTTACTGTATGATATTTACTGACCTGTTTTTGGTATTTATTTAACACGTTGTATTTACAGAATGTCTAGTACCGTATAAAAAGAGTGTTATGTTGTACAAATAAAAAAAAGATTTATTAATCTACTATTTACAACTTCTATAACTCAATATACAATAAACATTATTATATGACATAACAAGCTCTTTACACTTTCCAACATTCGTTTTTGCGAAATCAAAGATATGATTCGAAAGGACTTGAAATAACTACCAAGGACATACTAAGTTTTACGATGAAGCAGAACTAATTAGCACCATTAGAAGGGATAAATTACATTTGGGTGAGATTTAGCGCGAATAGTTTGGGAGTACATTCTATATCAAATTCACATCATCATAATATAGTTGAATGTTCTTACAATTTACTTAAATTAGACCTCCTAAACATACGTCACAATAAGTGTCAAGTCACACTGAAAGAGTAGCGGCCGAAGAAGCACTTTTGGTGCAAAATATTACTTAGCATTTTGAATCTTATCTTCTAAAGAAAAAAGTTCAAATTGATTTAAAATTATAGAATGTATAATGCATCGCACGGCACAGCACGGCACCGCGAGCAGCCCCGTGGCCATGCGAGACTTGCAACTTGCGCTCCTCTGCTCTTTCAGTATGACTTGCCCCTTACAGTCCTACCAACATCTATTAATCATTCCATTGCACTCTTCATACTTAACTCTAAAATATTACTTATCAACGTTGTTAATACCGGATATTTAATTAAAAAGAAACTTAAAATTGAGTTTAAAATGAGCTATAATTTAAATCTGTTATTTAATCAATGGCCCTCAGCATCGTAAACTTAATCACTGCTGCAGTATCCGCGTCCAAAGAAAAATACTATACGTCAGTGTTATATAAAAAAATGAAATTTACAAAACTTTACATTTCTACCTATTTCTACAATACTATATTAAATGTACATAATATATTAAAATTGTATTATTAAAATTAAAATTGTCACATGCTTTAGTCTCAACCGCACGTAAATAAAAAAGAACGATGGATTTGCAACAAAAATCAATTCGCGTAACTTACTACCTGAACATATTATTCTCCATTTTTAAGTTCTTGCATTTACAGCCATTAGACTCATTGTGTGTTAACATCATTCCTAAGTCTAGGTAAACAAACTTGACAATCATACAAAACCGAAATAATTCCGTTTTCGCCAGGAGACATTTACACACTCTATTATTTTTACACCTCATAAGCAATATTTCAATTTATTTCTATATTTAGTAGGAACTGCAATGACAAGTACCGGCAGTCGTAGCGTCGCATATATGGTTTTTGACGCGGTATAATTTATCAATAAGTACCGTGTGAGATTATTACACTAATTTTGCGAGAACGTCTCACGCTGTGATAATTATGTGGATAACGTAGATAATTTAATTAAATTTCCTTATTGTTTTGGTAAAGAAGGAATCGATAATAGTCAGCACCAGAAATTCGTGTGCCACCTGCACCTGCGAAACCACGTGCCAACTGCATTCTTATTATAATACCGTTGACGAATAAATTCGAAAAATGACATTAATGTTTCGTTACAAAATTAGTTAAAAACTGTTGCTGTTAATACAATTAATAACCATGTAGTTATAAGCAGTCTTCTCCGGCTTTGTAAACTTTCTCTGGTATACAAAGTTGCTTACAGTTCTAAATCGCCGTGAAAGGTATTGGTAATTTAGTAATTAAAGGCACATGATTACAAGAATCATTGATAGACGCTGGTGCTAAGGCTACTTCTAGCAGCCCTCATATCTTCATAATACTATTAACAGGGATTACATTTTTCTCCTCATTATCATTTATCGAAGGTTTTAAGATAAACACCAAATTTAGTTTATTGTTAACGTATGTATATTACCACCGCTCAATATTTGTGGTTGATAAAGCATCGCACTAAGCTGTCATTATGAGATACAACTTATGCGCATGTAGTCATATAGTGCCTATCTATGCCTATGTAATTCGCGCGGTTGTGATAAAATTTCAAGATGGCAGCTACATCACTTGAATTTCACTGACGTATGTGGAATATGTTTTACTAACGGTATACCGTTACATATATTATTTCTTCATAAAAACCTAAAAATACTATTTAAGAGAGTCGTCACCACACTTCTCGACACAGATTCGAATTAAGCTGGTCAGAAAAACGAAAAAGAACGTAGCGCGTTTCGCTTTCGAAACCGAATCGAAATGCCGACGCGAAACGTACATCATTTTCGCTCGGTCATAAAGATTTTTCTGATCGGCTAAATGCGAATCCGTGGCGATAAGTGTGGTGATTCTCTTACACGAGACGTCCTGGACTACAAACTATTATATAACGTCATCTTTTACACTTGATGGATTGTATGTTCAAATGGCTCGTGGTGGATGAAACGGAAATATTATATAAAAAGGCAGTGACAGAGTATTATTTCCATATTCTTAAGGTCATGTACACGTTATCATAACACCTATTAATTCTGAATAATGTTAATTCCAGCTATGTATACTATACAAATAATATTGCCACAGTGACATCACTAGGAAATGGTCTTGTAATTATAGCAAAATCTAATTTTAAGAACATCACGAACATTTTGTACCCGGATAGCGTGGTTTCTTATAAAAAAAGCGCTATGTGACAACAGTTTAAAAAATGGCAAGCCCAAAATTTGAATAAAGGATAAGGTACAGATGTCAACATGCTTGAAAGCAGCACTAAAACATATAGTAGTCTTGACTTATGAGTATTTATTTACACATGCGCTGTCAAATGTAATCTATTCTTAAGAATTCTGCCCACTGATTAAGTACAGACGTTGTTGACCCATTTCAGTATATTTACCCTACATGTCATCGGTTACAGTTCGAGTCACTGTCTCCCTAATAGTACGGTGAGTATTATTGAGCAAAACCAAACCACCGCTTAATGTTTAAAAGACCACCAAGACGCTTTCGTGTGACGATGTTATGATTTTATATTTTGTTACGCGAGAGAGAACACAAGTGCATGCTTAACTCTAAATAGGCGGATCTTTCGACACTTGTCCAATGTGCACTGATACAATAGTTTGTTAAAAATAAGGCAAAACAAGATCTTCCGCGACGGACATTCTATTAGTAAACATAGTGTTTATTTACAACGTTGTTAACATTAGCTTCATACTTACTATTCGCTATTGCAGTGCGAGCGCCAAAATATCGCAAAAATTATATTGTTTATATAACAATTGTTACGCGTAATTGTGACGCAGCGTAGAATAGAAAAGTCTAAAACGGACAGTGTTTTAGACTTGCGGAAAATTGTTGAGTTAGTGAACAATGGTGTCGATTCTATTGCAAGTTTTTCAAAGCTAAGCTTCGTAAAATTTAGATATTTCTAAATGTTCGGTAAATGGCGGGATTACAACTTCAGAACAATTTATTATTCATATAGATATTTTTATTCAAGTTTTTCTTGTTTTTTTTTTTTCATGACAATATGTGACGAGACGGAACAAGTCGTGCGCCTGGTGGTAAACGACGCAGTTGCAATGCTACTTAAAGTCTTAAATCACAAAGATCTGATCATTGCCACTACTTCCGTCACCCTGAGACAAGTTTACAAGTCCCATGTGCCTGTAATTTCACCACCCTCTCGCCGCCCTCGTTGACAATTTTTCCAAAATCTTTGATCACCATCTATCAAACAGATGAAAAAAGACAAAAAATATGTATTCTGAATGGCATCGGAAAACCGACCTTTAGTAGAGCTAAAAAAAGCTTATTTCTTACTGTAATAATGCACACAAAAACAACACGGCTTGTATAACTATTATTAAGTGGAGGCCTGAATAGACACCATTGAAGAACTACAATCATACAAGTAAAATGGATATGTGGTTATTGAATATGCAGTGAACAATCAGTAATATTGAATATAAAATTAACAAATCATTTCAGTCATTGCGAACATAAAGAACTAATCATAAAGTACAATCTTCTATAAATTAATCAAACCAAATAATCATAAAACTATACATACATATTTACAAGTACGGCATAATACTACAATCAGATTAAATAAATAAAAGTCAAATTCATCATTCCGTGCACATAACCTACAAAGTATTAATAAACAAAATACAGTACTTTGACAACCCCTACCATCACAAATGCTATTAGCTCAACATTGTAGGTCTCTCTCTCCCTTGTTTATAATCCTTATGTAAAGTTTTTATAGTCATTTAATACTTGTGGACAGATGTGGAACCAAATCGAACTTTTTTTTTTATTTTTTTCCGCCCACGGCAGAACGGAAATGATAATAACTCTGGAACAGGAAAAATTATGTTGGTACCATTACAGGCAATATTTCAGGAACTATCGCACCTGAAAATGTTTGTTAGAATAGAGAGGTAAACATACCTCAGTCTTGCTCACTCGTAGTTTGTTCGCTCTCCGGACGCAGAGAGTCAATACAGGCGACAATCTTGAGTGCAGGTCCTAACTTCATCGAGAGCGCCATCACAAGATGTTCCGGTTTGATCAACAACAATGCCTCGCCGTCCACCTCCTGCATGAGGAACTCGTCGGCGTAGCTTGCGCACCCGGGAATGCTGCGTATGAAGTCGCATACTTCTGCCACCTGAACCAAAATAAGATGGCATTAAAATTAATTCAGAGATAAAGTTAAAATTATGTATGTCAGCTCATACGTAATTCATTACCCATATTTTATGCCTGATACAGCAATAAAGTACTATTAGCCATGATCGGAATTGAGGAAGTTAGTTTGCCTAAAGTATGAACGATTTCTTAATATACACATTAGGACATACCCATTTCGTCATCAATGCTTATAAAGTTTCTTTTTTTACCGTTTATTTTCATGTTTAAAGTATTTAAATACGTACAATACTACATTTCGAGACTATAATTTGTAGCAAATACTTAATATGAAATAATTTATTTCGAGTTTACTCCACTAGTTTGTTATAATTATTAATACAAAGACACTTAGAAAAAATTCCTTCGATCCGCCCAGATTCGAACCGACGTCTTCTAGCAAACCGTGGCAGACGCTATGCCAACTGAGTGCTTAATATTAATAATTATGAAATAATAATTTGTTACCAACGTACTCTAATTTTAGTAAATAATACGCATATTCAAATATTATCAGTTCCGAGAAGTTTCGGAATTTGTAGAAGGGAATGTCCACGTTGTTCTTTAGTTTAAGTAAATTAACTCCCTCAATTCCGATCTCCGTTTTATTATTTCTATTAGCCACCTTACCGTCCATTTATTAGCGTTAGGAATTTTGGCAGACGCCGAATTGCCATCGGCGCTGACTGCAGCAGCAGCGTTATCACTGGCTGTCGCCGTTGCCGCCTCCTGCCTTTCAGTGTCTCGCTTTGAGCGACGTTCCGAGGCGCCGGAGTGCGAGCCGCTCTCACTCGAGCGCGGCGATCGCGGCGACGACCGCGTTGGGGTAGTCGAGTCACTCGAACTGATACGTGCTAAGCCCGAACCGCCCTCCAACATTTGTTTCTTTCCTAAACGGAAGCAGGACATTGGACATACAGATTTGCTATTATGTCTACGTTAAAACAAAATAATAGCATGCAGTTTGACTTTATTGAATGATAGCTTGCAGTCAACTTTTACAGGACAACGCTGCGACTGCCCTGCCTAGAAGTGAAATTTAATTCTATTTTGAGTATTAACTAAGCAAACTTAATGACACTCGGTGTTTACTTGTGGCCGAGAGCGATTGGTTCCAAAAGAGACACAAAGTTTCGAAAAACCGTAAGTATAAAAAAAAATGGCGTTTGGATGCGTGCATTTGTCACAGAGATATTAACAATATTAACGAATTCCTAACGCGGCAGCGCCGGCTGTTAAAACTGTACTCGTTGTTATTCAATCCACAGAAAATACGAAGAACAAAAAACATGACTTCAAATTGTGGAACAGGCTATGTTTTAACATGATTTTACTTACTGGGCGGTTCATCAGTAGGCATTTTATTTTCCTTGTCCTGATCTTTGTCAGCTTGTGACCAGTCGCGCAGCGAACGATTTACCTGCGCATATTTTATTTAACACAATGAAATTAAAAAAATAGACGTCGTGTTTACTACGACATGTTTTCACCAATATTTGTACTAAGTCATTCAGAACATATACAAGGCATCGTACACCTGACTGCAATCTTTAAGGAGGTTAAATAATAACATTTTTAGCAAGAAAATTTGGCGGAGCGCTACATGTGAGTGAACTCTACTGCCACTTTGTAAGTGTTAGTTCAGTAATGAAAATGTGTTTGTCAAAACATACTTACGCCTAGACTTACTGCAAATGGTTCCCCAGCCTCTTGAATGACGTAACCTTCGATCACGTGTGTTAAGATGTTAGGCTTTACCATCGCCTTCGGCAAGCCTTTATCTGCAAAACAAATCTCGCTAGTATGCATTATAAAAAGGAGATAAAACTGAGGCGCTACAGAGATCGTACATCAGTCTTTACATCTTCTTGCTATTGTAGCCAGCTGCCGGAAACACAGAATTAAATTTAAATAATAGATTCCTAAATATAAACTCTGATAGTCAGGTCGTTGTTGCTCAAGAATTTGGTACAATAACTATTTTTCAAGATACTACAGGCGACGATTTTTATGTTGCAGCAGTAATTACCCCGATAACATATCATGTGTGATATTAAGCCCGTAAGTATTCTGTTTAAAGTTTCGGTATCAGATGTTAGTCCTTTTATAATACTTACCATGCGCAGTTGAGGGCATGTGGCGCGTGGGCACCGGGGAATTCTTAAAGAGCGGCGGCACGGGCGCGGGCGCACCCGACGTTACCGGTGCTGTGATCGCCGCAGTTATCGTCGCCGCCGACGTCGATGATGCCGTAGTCGTAATCACCTGTTATAAAGAATTATTTTGTGTATGGGTTAAATACATATCCCATTGATAGACCTGAGTCTCCTCTGAGAAGAGCACGAATCTTCAACATTTCAACTGTAAGACATCGACATGAATATTCGACCCATTTAATTCAAAACACAGAAACAAAATTGTCCCAGTTGTGCATGGCAGAATTTAGGCACAATCGATTCAAAGTTCGTGTGCTTTGTAGCAAGGTAAACCATTATTTGCTCACTCCAATAAAATTACAAAATTATTAAAAAACAATGTCTTTTTATGTTCCTATATAGTCCCAAATGCATTCACACTTCTCTGCAAGCACATACCACAGACTACCCTAGTTTATTGCGTAATCGAATTATTGTAAGCATTGTTTTAGCAGTAACCTGCGGAGCAACGGGCGTCGTTTGTTGTGAGCTGCTGGCGACAGACGACGTAGCGCTCGACGCGACGGATACCGCCGGCGTCGCTAGCTCGCTGACCGCCGGCGTCGACGTCACGGCGCTGTCTTGCTTCGAACTACTCATTTTTGTTGCTTCTGTCATACACGACATAATATGCAATTAATTGATTATATGACATACGTATTCAACCAGTGTAAAATACTGTAAATTTTAATGATGCATTAAATATGCAATACACTTGCGATATAAAGTATTACAAAGTCGATTTTTATTTTCCAAGATTATTTTCTAAAATGCCTTTCAGACAAACCGTGAATGTTAAATTTTAATAACCTGCAGTAGAAGTGCTAGTAGAGACGGCAGCGTCTGATGTAGTAACTGTGTTGATGGTGATGGGGTCTGAAGCGGAGCTGAACGCAGGTGCCATGGGTGTGGACTCCGTCGACGTGGACGTCGTCGTCTCGGGCGTGGGATCTGGCTGCGGCGGGGCGGGCGGTAGGTGGGGAGCTGGCGGCGGGTGGGGGGCGATTGGAGGCAATGAAGGCGCCTGCACCAAAATTATTATCATTATGGAATTATAAGCACACAGTTAATGACCTAATACAATATAGCTTATCTCCAACTCACTGGAGCGAGCAATTGAGAGCCCTTTTCGTCCTCTTGCTTAACCCGTGTGAGCAGCGCGGTGGGGGGCTGAAGCGGCATTATAGAGCCCTGCGCTGGTGCCGCGATCAGCCCAACGGTGCCAGCCGGCGTCTGGAGCGTCAGCTGTTGCTGCAGGCTGGTACCCTGCATCTGATAATAAACACAACTTTCGAGGAACCATTTGCATTATTATATGTATAACTTGACCGTCATGATACTTGAAATGTTTGTAAGAGCGTGAACAAGGAACGAAGTTCTGAATATGGATCCATCTCCTTCTAGATGCGGGTACGATGCGTTCATCATTAGCCTAACTTATGACGGTCAAGCTTTCCTACCACTACTTATGCAACAATTCAACAGCCGACGCTCTACAAACAACTAGAATAAAAAACAAGTATCTAAAAAATGTATAGAAACTAACAATAACTTTCACACCAAATTTTAATAACATCCATAAGAACACCAAAAAATTGACAATAACTTATGGGAAAAAAGGCAATTCATAAATTTTGAAAATTCAACGCCAATTTAGGAGGCACAATAGAATTAGGTCATATTGTGAAATAATGCTAAGCTTGATAAAATATAATCGTCTGATAGATGTGTGACAATACATTTTGTCGTAATTGCGACCTCATAAATAAGGTATTAATGTACGAAGAGAACATAGACTTTACTTTAACAGACACAATTGTTTTACGTTAAATATTTGAACGTTCAAACTGATTTAAATTTTTCATAAAATGACGCCGCCTCTCCACCCTTAAGATATGTTCGCTCCGTCCACTGTCACCATGCACTGTTATTAAGTCATTGCAGCGATAATTAGGTGAAGTTGTCAGCGTTTTAACGTCATACACTTTGTTTGCAGATTTTATTTAACCCATATTTATACATTATATTTATACCTATGAAATTAGTGCAGATAATAATTCATACACGACATGCATCAAGACATAGGAAATAGGAGGAGAAAAAAAACCACAATCATGCAGTAAACAACACGCAAGCGGCGCTGTAAACATATTAAGTAAATAAAATAAATGATAAAAATATTTTATTGGATCATTCTTTAGAAACTTCTGTTTTAGTACCTTTAAATGATTAAGTTAAACCACAAATTGTATTTTTGCACGTTACGCGTGTTTTCATATCAATTATAGCATGTGCGAACAATATACAATATCTTGACACTACAAACTTTGCGCCAGCATATTCATGGTGTCCACCTTTATCATTCATCCAAGATTAGGACAATTTTAATCGTTGTAGCGTCGTTTATCGAAATTCGATATCCTTAATTTTCTATTAACAGTATACGTTATATTATTGATTCTTCAAGTAGTAAAACAGAAGTGATGTTTAAAGTAATACAGAACGAACCATGCATATTAACTAATGAGGGGGTGTGAGGGTCTACCTCCGGGTATATTGCAATATTCGGTGCGATCTGCACGAGAGGCGCGGCCCGCAGTTGAGCTCCCTCAAGTCCGAGGGCCGGCTGCCAACGGTACCACTCTCAGACAATTCGTCACTTTTGACTTAGTGAAATTACATTGAAATTCTGGGACTACAGGGAAATAATTTAAAAATTTCCCGTGGACCCGTTAGTAGAACAACATATCGGGACCAAGAGAAAGCAAGAATAGGTGGCGTTGAGTCATGGAGACACATTACTTTATAGTTATTCGAATCTCATAGATATTGACACTTTACGAGAATTTTATGAACCTGTGACGTATATCCTCTCTGCTTGGTGCTATAGATGCTCTCTAATTGATGCTTTAAATTACGTTTCATATATAATTAAGAGTAATGTAATAATTATGGTTAAACTTTTAATACAGAACTTCATACAACTTCAATTTTTAAATATTATTTATTCAAGTCTCCTTTTGTCACCCATTTTATATTTTAAATTTTTCGTCATCAGCTGTCCTCTTTGTTGATTTAAATTCATTTATTTATTAATTTGCATATCATTTAAACAATTAATTTAAAGTATATAATAATTTAAACGCCGCTCAATTCGTTTAAGAGTAGCCAGGTCAATGTCGTATATAAATTCTATGTTCGCTCTATAATCCTATTTACAAATCGTCTGTGTTTTGTAAAAAGGGCGAAAGTGCCATTTCGAAAAAATTCTCAGATGTGCATGTTTTAGTTTTTCACGATTGTTTTAAAATGTTTACGTCCTGTTTTAAATACAATTTTTAAACAGGACGTAAATATTTTAAAACAGTTTTCAAAACCCAAAACACGCTTTCTAGAAAATTATTCGAAATGACGCTTTCGCCCTTTCTACATAACACTGACGAAATAGGCTTCAAAATTATTTGCACCGCAGAGCAGTACTAAAGTGAACGTGTGACTCATAAAAAATAAATTAAGATTAAAAATTAACTAAAGGGACTAGTAGTAGTGCTGAAAATCAGTGCCACGACACGGTAAACAAACCGGTTGTGGCTAAAGCTGAGCAAGTCCCGTTTGCACTAGTCGCGACACGTATGACGATGAATTACCTGCATATTTTGTATTATTATTGTTCCTCAATGTCCTTTTGTTTTTATTATTATTTTTGTTTTTTGTTTATATGCGTGTTTGTGATTGTGCAATAAATGGCTTTCTAAACCATTGCCGCTATTCTGTATTGAAAAACTTATCTTACACTTACAAATTAAAAAAATATTCATTTTACACTTTTAGTGACCCAGAAATACAATACTTGGGATCTGATTTCTTAAAACAACACATGCAGTTGTAATAGGATATACGGATAATGTTATCAATGATTCTTCCAATTTCAAACGTAAAAGTGAGGGTCTGGGGTTCCACTCAATTAATTTAAAAAATATATAACAAAATATACAATATGGACGAATGTATTATTTCAGTATGTATATTTAGCACACGCACACACTATCGTTAATTTCACTCAAAAGCAATTTATTCTCGTTATCAGTTACCTACTTACTATGGCTCGACATTAAGACGTACACTGACGTCTCATTACGTTTCAATGTTAAGATAGCCCCAGGTATACTTGGTACTTGGTGTAACGTGCTGGGTAGCCCTAGGTATAATATCAATAATGCATTTCTAGGCGCTCAATTTTCTTTTTCGTTCCAATATAATAATATTTCTAATATAATAGAATATAACGTTTAATAATTTTTTTTTGCTCTGATGTACAATAAATTACCGAATGACCTGAATGCACTTTTATCAAGTAACCTTCATTTCAAAATTAGGCTAAACATAAAGTTATGGTCCAATTTCGCATGATGATACCAATTTTTTCGGATAAACACGAGTATTTAGAATACATTTTATGCAGGTGGTTAAGTGGAAGACTGCAAAATTGAAGATGTTGTAAAGTGAGTACTAAAAAACCGACCGCGAAAATACGTGAAATTACATCTATTTGCTAAGTTTTATTGAAAACGGTTACCGGAAAGTGCGCGAAACCGGATTTATCCCCTAGTTTCCCACCATTAAAGGTGGAATATTATCTTCAAATTTAAATGGGATTTTACCTCTTTCCAACAAAAAAAGAATCATCAAAATCAGTTCACAAATGGAGTTATCGCGTAACATACAAAAAAAAACATAGTCGAATTAATAATAGGAAAAACAAACCATTTGTTTTCCATGTGAATAAATAAGGTCAAAGCAATTTTTCGTACTCAATCCTGTAAGATTAATAAACTGACCGGTGACCGTATTCGCTACGTCACTCACTAAGGTTGCCACAAACCAACCGTGTCCAACCGACTGATCGTGTTGCAGTCTTGTGGTCATATTTACATCATTTACTATTCGTAAAGCACTGCGTGGGAAAACCACTGAGGTCGATCGCAAACACTAGTGCGGCTGGATGTGCCAGCAGTTGGTCGTGGCAACTGAATGCGTCGTGTGTGTTACGCTGGAAAAGCCATTGGTATAATATAGTCGTGGTCATGTAATGGGCAAGGTGCCTTCACTGTCGTATTTGACAGGTAACTTTGACACATTATATTACGCCCACAACCTAGGCATTAACCAACTAATAAAATAGACGTGCGTGCTTAGGAGCTTACCGTCTGCATTTGAGTGTTGGGCGTCATCGAAGGTTGCTGCTGCACTCCCATGCCTACTGTGGTCTGGACCAGGCCGCTACCGACTAGTGTCTATGGAAAAACGGTAACATACAAATAAGTGCTCGCCTTGTAACCACACAAATAATCTGTGAATTTCAGATTTCATAAAACTACAACGACTTGCTACTGTATATGTCTATGGGTCATTTTGGTAAATGGTTTTTTATCAATGTACAACATTAAAATATGAGTAGTGACGGTAGAGCTTATTAATACCGAGTACAATGCGAATACGATTTCGTAATTTTTTTTTTACAATACCAAGTGACGGCACGAACATGTCATGCGCCTCGTGGTAAGAGATACGCTTATCCATAACAGATGCAGTACCACTTAGAGATTTAAATCACAAGATGTTAGGGGCACTGCCACTGCGCCGTCACCCTGAGACATAAGTTGACAAGTCCCATGTGCCTGTAAATTCACCAGCACCCTCACCCTTCCAAATCGGAAGGCAGTAATGCTTACATTACTGCTTGGGTCAGAAATAAGTAACATGGCAGTACTTCCCTGGGCAAACTCTTACACAACAAGCTCTACTGCTACTAAAAATAACTTCGTAGTATACGATAGTCAGCTTCGCCTATAGACTGATGTGGTGGTATAAATTGCATACCTACTATAAACTATATAATAAACGAAAAAAATCGAAGCTTCATTTTCTATCTGTAGCCTACTAAGATGATGACTGTTTGACGTGAATATACCTGTGGTTGCTGTTGCAATGACTGGACAGACGTCAGTGCGGCGCTTTGCGGGGGCTGCGACGTGTTGATTTGCCCGACTAGCGTGCCTGGTTGGGCCATGCCTCCCAACTATAAGCATGACGATATTTAGTATACTATTACGGAGTAAAAGAAGCGAAACTCGTGATTGTAGTGCGTGCCGATAGGAAACAACTAAACAAACAATAGCGTATTCCTATCACATCAAGGCAATAAATGCCTTACGTGAAGAAGTTTTGTGTTTTATATACATTTACAATACAGGTTATAAAAAATGTCGTTTTTTGAAAAGGCAAAGCAGCAGTGAGTTTTGTCAGGTTCTTATGGTGAGGTGTTTTTTGGAAAATAAAACGCGGAAGGAAGGCGGCCAAATATATAAAATGATGTTTCTTGGTATTATTTATACTTACCATAGAAATGGTCTGTGGCATCCCAGCTATAGGAAGAGTCTGCGCCACTGATCCGACAGGCAATGTGCCTTGTTGCATACCCAACGCCATTCCTAGACGCAACATTTGTTTTAGTAAAAGAGAATGCAGTTGGCACATGGTTATGTTGTCTTCCCACTTAATAAGCATGAATTGTTTTAAAATTAACACTAAAAACTTATTAACAAGTTACTTAAATTGTGAGTGGCTCAAATAAACGATTGTTATTATAATGTCGGGTATTATTTTTTTCCCCTCTATTTTACAAAAATTACAACAGGCCTAATAGTTGCCGTATCTCGGGCAATTTAAACTAAGCGCGTACAGAAGTGCGGCAAAATGTAACGTTTTTGTTTAGCAACAATGAAGCTAAATATTTTATTACAGTTCACAACTTCAGCGACTGTCTTCCCCTGCATGTAAATGAGCGCTTATGCTCAGAATAGTCTACTTAATAAAATGCAATTTTGTTATCTTTTTATCTTTTTTTAGCCTATACTGTCCCATTGCTGGGCAAAGGCCTCTCTCCTTTCTTTCCACACGTCTCTTTTTTGCGTCAGTTATTTACGGAGACTATAGTATTTACTTAATACAATATAACAATATTACCTTGATGTTGATAATGTTGTACCAGCTGCTGAGTCTGTTGCTGATGCATGAGCTGCTGCTGTTGCGCCTGCTGAGCCTGCTGACAATTAAAACAGTATAAAAGCACAAAGGCCGTCAATATAATAAAATATATACACGTTAAGGCGTGAGACGTACTTATATCACAGGTTCTCAAGTTTTTGGCTCACCGCCCACTACCACAAGACAAAAAAATTTCAACGCCCACCACCATCAAAAAATAATTAACTTAACAAAAAAATCACAAGGAAAAAAAAGTTGTATATGTATGTAAGTGTAGTTTATTAGTTTATACTTCAGGTTTTTTTTTTCAAATGCAGTAGCACCCTCTAGACAGCATCAATGCCCCAATAGCTCCCGAAGCTCCTAGGACTTTTCAGCGCCCACTGGGGGGGGACCACTTTGGGAAACGATGTACTATATACTAATACGTTCTTTCTAATTTAACTACTACTGGGTAAAAATATATGTATACATAAATATATATAGACATTTTTATATATATATTTTAGCCAATTAGTAAAATAACCTAAACGACGTCAATTATTATAATACTTATAGAAAGAATACAATGCAAGTGCTACAATTTTATAGAATATTAAATTTTGTAACAAAAGGTACCACATTTATTGATTTAGTACCTGCATAGCCGCCGCCTGTTGCTGCAGTATGGCCTGCTGTTGTTGTAAACTCTTGTTAAGCGCTTGCTTGTTGTCCACGCTCATTTGCGCCATTTGTCCCGTCGAAGTCATCACCAACAGCCTGCAATGCAATATTTTATTACTTCAGCAGTTCTAACTTGCTCCTCTCCTTTCATCGTTGTTCCCGATTTAAATGGAGTGGATAATCTATGTTGCAGCAAAGAATAGTTGCTCTTTTGACGAAGTGCATTGTGCTGATGGTAAGATAAGAAATTACTATTGCCATTAAACCACAACTCTTCTTCTCTCCATTGTTTTAGTTAATACGCCATAGATTTTGAGAGCACGAAAAAATTTAATCATCTTCGTGACTAAATGTCTTATTGATCAGTCGCTATCTACAGTGAGACATGGATCAATAACTCAAGGGGATTGTTAATCTCCATACTTCAGATCGTAACTCTAAAAAAGGTCAAAATCCCGTTCATACCTAGATGGCGTTGAACGATAACCTAGAAGCAGTATACATTATGTAAATGGCCGTGAATATCAATTAATTCTCCTTTGCATTAAATAAAGGTCAGTTTTTTTTCTTTGTATATACATATATTAAGAATGTATTATCATTTCCTAAGATTAAAACTTATATTAAAAGTAATTTTAATTAAATTTTAATTGAAAAGTCATATTACAAAATTATAGAGTATGTTTTAGATAAAGAAGTATTTTTTTTTTATAAAATATAAGTGCGCATTTGACTTCGCATCTCACCTGACGGAAAGTGACGATGAGGTCGACGATGGAGCATGCACACCTAAATAATGCATATTCACTCTCGCCTTGAAAAGACCCAAGTTATAACGTTCAGGGAACAAGTCTGCAGGCAGGGAATTCCACTCCATAGCCGTTCGCTATATAAATGTGGAAGAATAACGCTTCGTGCGAATCTTTGGAATATCCACAACATAGGGGTGGAACCCCAGCCTACGCTTAGTCCCCCGGTGATGGAAAGGGGAAGGCGGAATTAAATCGTGTAATTCCATCACACACTCTCTATGATATATCCTGTAAAATACCGATAAGCAGGCAAGTTTACTGCGGTATTCAAGGCTCTGCTGCGTCGCCTCCACAAATTCCGAGTCACCTATAAGCCTCTTGGCACGGTTGTCAATTGAATCCAAAGTGGCCAGTTGATGTGTAGCAGAGCCATCCCAAAGGTGGCAGCGGTACTGCATGCACGATTTGTACATGTACATGTGCTTGGTACAGCTGAAGCAACTGTCCCAGTGTAAAGTAACGCCTCACCCTGGAAAGTATCCCAAGCTGCCTTACTACATTTTTGCCCATGGATTCAATGTATCTGCCGAAGTTCAAATTGGACGACAGATCCATTCCAAGTAGTTGAAGGCAGCCGGCTATCGGTATAGATATATCACGAAAAGTCGGAGTCAGCTCAAACGGACACAGTTTTGTGGAGAACAGACACGCTTGCGTTTTGGTAGCGTTAAATTTGATAAGATTGGCATTGTCGTCGTCGAACAACGTCGAACGTCGGAGGTCGTTGTCTTCAAGTTACGATAGGAGACGGTTGTTGAGTACACGTTCCATAGTCTTCCAGAGTATGGAAGTGACTGAGATAGGTCTATAGTTGACAGGGTCAGCTGTACTTCCCTTTTTTGACACTGGTTGCACGCTTGCAAGCTTCCACGACCTGAGAACTACACCAGTCTCAAGTGAGAGGCGGTACAGGCGTGTGAGAACTGGAGACAACTCAGACGCACAGTTACTCAGGACTATTGCTGGAATTCCATCTGGCCCACTAGCTTTATTCACGTCTAGATTTCGCATAGTTCTAAGTACCTCTTTTTGGCGTATGCGAACTGGCGCCATAGGGCAGCCAGCCTGAGGTAAAGTAGGTGGTAGGTTCCCTGCGGCATCCAGACGCGAACTCTTTGCAAAGAGTGAGGCAAAGAGATTCGCCTTCTGCTCTGCAGTACGAGTCAGCGAGCCATCCGGCCTCAGCAGATGTGGCAAAGATGGGCGACAAAAGTTAGATTCGAACGCTTTGGCCAAGGATCAAAAGGATTTGCTGCCTTTTGGATAAGAGGCAAGCTTGGCCCCTATGCGGCGCACGTGGTCGAACTTGGCCCTACGTAACACGCTTTTGCACTTCTTAGCGGTCTTATTAAAATCTTTCTTCAAATTCTGAGTACTCGGAGCTTTGCGTAGTCGAGCATCTGCCCAAGCTTGGTGCGTGGACTGTTTATGTGCTTCAGCACAACTACAATCAGCGTTAAACAATGGACGAGGTTCGGATTCATTGGGTATAATATCAGAGTATGGTATGTAATACTCCATACCCAAACGCAAGACCTCGTCTACCGCATCAGCACACCTCGACAAGTCTCCTGAAGTAAAGCACGCCTGCCCCCTGCCAGGCGTGCAGCAGCCGAATATATCCCATCATATCATATCCCTATATGACGCAAAGAAATGGCGCCTTTCGTCCCAATCTGCTAACTTGTATCGCCACATCCGTCTCATACCACTAGGGCCCTGATTCCACACAATTATTATTCAAAGTGAATTCCATAGCATTTAAATTTATTTGAAAAGAGCAATCCCTAAAGTTTCTTGCTCGTTCTTTTCAGGGAGGTAAGCGTGGTGAACGAGCAGTAGCTTAATAAGTAGCCTAAAAAATGAAGTTTTCAAGTGTAAAAATTTTACCTATGGAATAAATGATTATTTGATTTTGACTTTGTAATATTATTCAAATATTGATCGTGATGCATGCATGTCATAAACTAATTTAAAAAGTAACGCTTGCTAATACGGGTAGATGGCGCTAATCCTAAATAAAATAAAAGAATAGCCGACAGTATCCATAAACACGTGTGGAATAAGCGGCATCTAGTTGATTTGTCTGTTATCACTAGAAATTAGAGTAGCTTTGATAAATTGCAGCTCATCAATGTAACACAAATTAGTTACAAAAATAGCCATTTGGTACTCGTCGCGACATCTGGCGTACTAGTGTGAAATAGGTACTACCCGACTACGTTGTCTTGTATCGCGATTAGCAGTCTTTCAGACCAGTTATAACATTGAATTATACCATTAATGGTATAAGTGGCACTAACCTGCACCATTTATATACTTGTAATATACATAGGTGGCACTAGTTGATCCCAGTCATACCATTGAATAATATGATAATGATATAAATAGTTTTACTGCAATAAATAGCGCCACCTATAGCATTACAGGTATAAATAGGACAGGTTAGTACCACTTATACCAATAGTCCTGACTTATCGATCCGTGGGTGAGGTAAGGAATTTCTGGCATCGATCGTCCATGGTGGCACAGCCGGTTTCTACTCTAAGCGCTAGGTGAGGATGTCCAGGCTTAGATTCCTGGTCGAACTAAGTTAAGATACGAACTATATATGTGTAAATTAACCTGAGTGTAATTAACTATAGAGCTCAGATGCTCAACAGCAGGGATACTCACTGATGTTTCGGCTGCTGCATCTGATGCTGCATCTTGTTGGTCTGGTTGGCGGCGTCTTGCTTGGAAGCTGGCGCCGGAGACCGCACGCCAGGCTTGCCACGGTGCTTCGCCTAACAAAAAAGTACGCAATATTTCTATTAGTAACTTAAATTAAAAAACAGTAAAGTTTTTTCTTTGGACTCAACAGATGCACAATTGATTGTTGTACTTATGGATTTTCAATGGTTTATCGGTACCTATATTTAATATGATTATTGTACGACAAGTGTGACGAAACATATAAATTTCTCAGTTGCCACATTAACGTCACTGGTATGAAACTGGAATAAAATATAATAGTTATCCTGCCTGATTCTGCGCTTGATTCGCGGTCTGCGTGGAGACAGATGAGGCGGGGCGGATACTGCTCGAGGGCAGAATGTTGGAGAGAGGGCGCGGGGCCTTACTCATGCCCTCAGTGGACGCCCGCGGCTTCGCCATCGTGCCCGTCGCACAGGCCACGCTCACATCTACAATCGTAAAAAAAATCGTTTTTATTTAACCCATTTCTGCCTCGTACTTTTTGTTCCAAATATGTGCATGACATAGATTATTGGACTTTTTTACAATACATGTCAAGCGATGACAACCCAATATGGAATGTAAAAGATTACAGCTGAACCTAATAAGGGTTTAAAAAGCAACTTATCGTAGCTTTACTTTCTCAAACTCGTATCTTAAAGCACAAAGTTAGTGAAATGCAAAAAATGAATTGTATTTACAAATTTTGCAGACTGATTTCATATCACATTTCGTTCATATTCACACACTGGCTTTTGCCTATTCTTAAAGTAACACATTCAAATAAACACCATTGATACGAAATTCAAATTAAATAGAAAATTTTGCCATCTCATGAGAAATCACTCTTTATAAGATACGAGAGTTTGAGAAAGTAAGGCATCGTTGTCATTTTTATACACAAGGCAACGTATCTATACGCTTTTTAAAAAGTTATTTGCGGAATTGTCGCCTGCCGACACTTAAATGTTTATGCCGTATAAATATTAGACATGCGATTAAAATCAGTATCTTCATAAAAGGTGAAGTAAACTCACATCACAAACATAATAATATATAACAACGCAATTCAATAATGTAATTTTGAAATGCGCTCTTCATTGTTAAATACAGGTTTCATACTTTTATTGTACAAGTCTCTACACTCAAACACTATTATAATTGCGACCTTGTAATAATGCAAGATTTAACATGAACAATACTTAAAACACACACACATGCACAGGACAGGCACATTTAGCGGAACACCAGTAGAAATCTCAAATAATGCAGTGTTTTCTTAGAGGTTGATCAGTTATTTTACTTTTTTACTTCAGCTCTAATTGAACATAAAAATTTAGGCAATTGTATTTTTTTTTCATTCATTTGTATTAATTTACTAATAGAGGTTTGTCGGGTGGCTCAAGATTGATTTTTACGTTCTTGTATTTCGTGAACTTTACTTGAACAATGCTTTTTTATTTATTGAAATTTGATTTAATCAATGTAAACTTACAATTTTAAGTTTTACACAACAGCTATATAAATACACATAATATATACTTTTTTTTTTAAACTAAAGTTGAGTAAGGCCGTACTAAGTCGACGTTAAAGATTTGCTACTTTGTGTATCATATAAACGTTACTGTTTTATATTCTTTCTTTCTGTTTGTACCCATTGACTTACAATTATATGGACGTCGGGTCCGCGCTAAAAAGTGTCCGAACTTATAGGGCGTTATAATCGTATACAGAGCTTTAGTCTTCGTTTGTTCGACTGACAGCAAAATTAGACAGTACTGCGATGACATTACAATTTAAATTCAAGGCTTTAGCTTTTTCATATTCCTTTACATGTCACTACGTTTAAATAGGTTGACTTGGGACATATTTTTCGTGGTTTTTGTATTAGACCCGTCGTCCATTTATTTGTATGTCAATGTTTGTACCGCTAGATATGCAGTGTGTACTGCAATTTAATTATGCGTAATGGACCATTTTTAAATAGTCGCTATAGTAGAGTCAGCGTTAAAAAGTAGTAAAAAGTAAAGTAAGATTTTTGTTCATTTTTACCTTATGAATGCGCAAAATATCTGCACGTTTGATCAAAGATGAATCAATGTTAAAACAGTAAGCTTAAAGGCCATTTTTTGATTAAAATTGAATGGTGCAACCTAATTGTATTGTAATGTGGTTAATTTGTGTCAAATATGCGAACTTTCAGATCATTCTAAACGTCAAGGTGAACTTCACCACTTGGTTATGTTTCGGCAAGTTTAGCCGTTCTGATCAGTTCCATACCGACTGTACATGCGCATCATAATACAGGTGCAATACAACAATACATCGCTGTCGTAATGTGAATTACTGGGAACATAGAGGTTGCGAAGCTAGTAATAAACGCTTAGCTGGCTGTGTATATATTATGATCGGTCACAGGCAAGTGTACACTGACAACATCATCTTATTGTTAATATTTTTGCCACAAATACACACTAGAAATTCGCAAGAGCCTTATCTATAGCAGAACTTACAAGAAATAGGAGCAGCAGTTTTCAAATAATCAATTAGGCTATCACAATTTTATACTGAGCGGAGTCCATTTTCAAAATACGTTACTCAAAGAGCATGCATTTTATTAAAAAATAGTACTGACTGTTATGTTGCACGTTGTTCTGCGGAGAATGTTGTATGAACATGGAAGGCGATGCGTCAGGCTGTGTACCGCGGATGAGGATGGGGTTGGGCGCGATAAGCCCACCGGTGGGCAAGCCGCCCGTCTGCAGCCCGCCAGCCCACACCTGTGATAGTGCGCCGGAGATCTGCCACGGTGCGAATTGCATCGCCTGACCACCCGTCTGATAACACCAATACACTTAATTAACTATTGTCTCTCTACAAATGTAATACATATTCACATGCAACACGTGTGATACTCGTAACCTTAAACACAAAAATGCTTGCTATGTACACAATTTTGTATGACTGAACTCCATTGAGTCTCACTGCGGAGAGAGTCATAAAACTATTGTGCAATAGCCTACACAATATACAAATTAAATAACTTTCGCTAAATGGCACTTAAGTCAAACGACTTAATGGAACAATCGCAATTTCGTGTCGCTCAGACAATTAATCCAACAACGCAGTTTTGTGGGAGTCACTATTTTATTTCTCAGATGCGATAGCATTAATTTAGATAACATTATGTATAAACAATTACGGCTTCACAGTGCCCTTTAACTACATTACAAATAATGCAATAAATAACAGCGCACAATCACTGCATAACAAATTTCGCTTGGCAACATAGAAAAATTTCGCTTCGTCATATATGTAATAAAAGTTAAGTAAAACTAGACCAATAATGTTACGTCCAAGTAGAATAGAATATACGTAATGCAGACGCAATATGTATTTTATTTTGTGTAACGGAAGTTACAATATATACTTTACATATACACATTAGTATAGCTATTTATTATACTTTTTTGGGGCTAAACATTATGAAATAGCTCAAGGACAACATTCGAGACCCAATGTATTCACATATTCAGAGACAAATAAAAATATTTAAAGTAATGACGTGGAGAAAATACTCGTACAATCCACTGTAGCCCATAACAATTATTAACCACATCATCATGTAATGAGTCATTACAACGGGAAGAGTAAGCTCCTAGTTCTTTCAAGAAAATAATTATTGCAGAAAAATAGTCCTTTAGACCAATGGATGCAAGGACAAACAAACATTATTAATTCACATATGTTATTTGTTTTTATAAAGACGTGTCTTTACGAGCCGACACCATAGAAGCCGGCCATTACGCATACAATACGCACGGATGTGTGGTTTATACGTCACCATGCGCGTGTAGCGTACACAAATCATACCACAATGGCTTGGATATATAATAGTAGATTGTACAACAAGTGCATAAAACGCATCATTTTACACGAGACGAGTATATCCACCCGAGCCGCAGACGACGGTTTTATGAACGAGTAATACACTGCTTTTCACTTCGATTGCGAGGAAATTAAACAACATTACAAATAAACGATTATTTAATTAAAATTGAATGTAAATTTACAACAATTAGAAATATTTAATACGATGCTTTTTGTTATTTTATACACTAGAGCATAACATCCTATTTTATGCAGCCTACACCCAGTAGAAATACGAACTTTAAGAGCATGAAAAGTGAAAAATATGTTTTTATGTAAATAACATTAGTACCTGCAAGGGGCTTATGATCTGCGCCTGGGCCGGTTGTTGCGCGCTGAGCACGGGCTGCGAGACCTGCACGCACTGTGTTTGTACCGGCACCGTTTGTGAACCTCCAGCGCCGCTCACGTTGCCCACTTTGCCACCCGCCACCTTACCTCCGCTCATCACCTGATAAATAATCAACACTTTAGAAAAAATCGCTTAAAGGACTATTCACAGCAGACCGTGTCGGGCGCCAGCCGAGTCACGTACGAGGGTCGGGTTGGAAATGCTGCGTACATTTCATATGAAATGAAGTGATTCATATTACGACGTGTCGCGTCCGTGATACGGATGAGCGACGCCCGAGCTGCTTCCGAGCTCGTCCGAGCCTCGGATGCGGCCCGGCCCGTCTCGGCTAGTTGTAATGTGAACACTCTCCAGTGCGTCGTACGCGTCCCGTCCGAGGTTGCGACTTTAAGGAGAGTGACTACGTAATTCTTTTTTGAATGTATGATGAAAAATTGTTTGCACTCAAACGTAAAATCAAAAGTAAGGAATTACCCAATGCTTTATAATATGACATAAACAATACGTTCGTATACGAGCATAAACCGCGTCCTACTGACTTCCTCAGTCCAATTTAAAATCGTGCGGCACGTACGAGGCTCGGACACGGCTCGCGCCCGGCACGGTCTAATGTGAATCATTCTTCAGAAAGTTTTTTTTTCGGAGTCTACCTCGTAGTTTCTATTCATAGTTATTTCAGTCTGTTGCAAAAAGCGGGAGAAATTCACTGCATGGCTGACGATCGATGCAAAGATATTTAAATAAATTAGATGACGAAACTCATTAAAATTTTAATACCATAATTGTTGATTATAAGCGGTTTGTACGTTATGCGGTAAGCTCCGTAATAGTCAAAGGTGTTAATTTTAATGTTATGCTAGTTTTACAATAATGCTAAACTTACTTTATGCATCTCAGCAGGTTTATGATGCTGTCCGATACCGGACACTGTTGGTTGCGAATGCGCTGGGAGGATACTTGGCTGTGAGTTGATCACCCCCAATGGGCTGAATACGAAGGTTTGGTTTTGCGTGGTTGGAATCGCTGGTATTGTCGTGTACCCCGGGAACGGCGCTGCACAAACACCTCAGTGACCACACACATAAACTTACATTTGTATCGGTAACTAAGCTAACATCCATTCAACGGTATCAACATCAAATCTTCTCAACATTCAGATTTTACTGTTTCTGTTCACCTTGACTAGTTGTGTAATTAGTAGGATTATATACTATGATATAGAGAAATAAATGTTTGTAACATTTATTTTATATAATCTCACGTTGAGTTACGTTACTAATAACTTTACTAATAAATTTACTGGCTTCCAAAATATACTTACGACACAAAAATGTCACAAAAAAACTGTTGAAACGTATTTTTTTAACGTACACACTCATAGCACTAGGGAAACCCTGTATCACGGGTGCCATGGACACAACCAAGACACCCACAAATTACACCCAAACTGACGAGAGAAATAAATGAAGGCCATACAAATATTTCTCCCGGCCCGGGAATTGAAACCTTTGCATGGAAGTACAGTATGGTAGCCGTTCGGCCACAGAGGCAGTTGCTAAGCTATTTTCATTTCATAATAGATTAATTGTATACCAACACTCACCTAAACGAATATGACATGGGCGGTAACGACTTACTTTTAAAGCATTCGTTAATCTTTAATTTTAGGCATGCATTGAATCGGAAACATCAACTGTACAATTTACAAATTACGTAGAGGCTTCTGCAATTAAGCATGTTCTGCTTGGGTGTTCCGAAAGGCTGGTCTAGTGAAAAGGAACGAATCAGACAGCTTTCTGTTTGAGCTTTCTGTTTGACAGAAAGCTGTCTGATCTTTATTGCAATATTTATTTTATTGAACATCATGACGTTTTAGTACCATATATAATAGAATTTATTATTAATTACATAGAAGCGCTAATGAGTGTCTTTAATGGCCACTTCGTCCAACCTTCGGAAAAGAATTACTTCAAATTTTTATAAAATGTAACCTCAAACTACACCAATTTTCAATATGAGTAATCAAAAATATAAAATCACAAGTAAGCTGCGGTTGCAATATTTACAATTCCAGTTTTCAAAGTACAATAAAAGCATATGCTTGTTTAGCTTTTAGAAGTGTCTATTTACAAAATTAAATGTAAATACATTTATTTATTATAAAAGCTTTAAATAAAATTTATCGCAGTGCGTATAAAAAAATCATTTTCAAAGAAATTAAACACAATTTAGAAACCCTCAAAAATAAATGGAGAAATTAAAATACATCCATAACTTTCAACCAATCACAAGACTCGAATAATAAAGTCATTTTTATTTTTATAAACCTTGTTCCTGATATGTAGTGAGACCTGCAAAATTTACTGAAAAACTAAATAGTGTAGAAGTCCTCCCAATTACAGCACTAAATATCCCCACATAATATGCTCATATATTACAATTCTTCCCTTAAAATTCAAAAGTGACTTTTGTGTGCAATTATAATAAGATTATGGTAGTATTTAACAAATAAATACTATAAAATATATGCTCGCCATGTTATAGTTTATATCTAATGCAGTGAGTATTTGGTGTTTTAGAAGCTTGTATACATTTGGACTAAGCGATGAATATTTAGTGTATACCAATAAGACATTTCGCTTAAACATACTTTATTAAACATAACTACTGGATCTAATCGAAATTTTATTGTATATAGAAACATTTCTTTAACTGGTACATATGCGCTACTCGTAGTGCGGTACTACGAGTAGCGCACATCCCAAGTGTAATCATTACTTTTTATGATATTTTTGCTTTTTATGATTATTTATTCATTTTTTTATTCTTCCTGTTTTCTATTTGTGTGCGATCTCGTGTAAATCTTTCCATATTAAATTAACTAAATATTATTTATTCTTAACTAAGTATTATTCCTTTACGGTACAACACCTGCCATATACCAAACAATGAAAATAAAATGGGAGCGCAGTAATAAGAACTTGTGTCCTTTTTCCAAGTGGTTTTTATAACATAAAAACTTAACAACTTCTTTTATGACAAGAATGCGGATTCGACGTCCAATTAGGATATAGAACGTAGGGAAATTCTACACAGGAGCCACAATAATCGGGTGCTGGATTGGCGTAGTGAACTATCGTTAAAAATCATTTATTTATTTGGAGAACCAATAGTTGCATGACTGATAATAGTAAATATGTAGTTATATAGTTCTTACTGATAGACTGTAATGAAATAGTATAGAACGTAGTTTTTATTTTAACATACATAAATAGTAATTAGCGATTTCCTTACCAGTTTGTCCTTGAAGCACTTGCTTGCCCTGCGCGGTCAGCATGTGTGGAGCTAACTGGTTGCCTTGGAACGGCTTCCCTGCCGCGATCACCTGCGCATCATAATTCACGCTGTTTATTATGTAAGAGCTGCGAGTTTCAGCCAGGGTTGCATAAATGCCTGTACACATATTGTGTGGACTAATCGGTGTCGACATATTGAGTTACTACACAAACTAGACGTGTTGACTTCACCAAACCATAAATCTATGAAAGAAGACCAGGACGTGGACAACAGCGCCTTAATATGTATTACATTGCAAATTTACTGCGACCAGTAAGCCGTCTTATAGATATCTCCGTTCTAGGAGAAGCACTATGAATGTAAACTATAAATAAACAGATGCTATATGGTGTACCTGTATCTGCTGCGAATTAAAGCCGGGAGGCAGCGCGATGTTGCCAGGCATCAACAACGGGCCCTGTGCGTTGTACAACTGCTGCAAATACGTGCTGTTCTGCAACGGCTGCTGAATCACCTGCACGCGACTATGGCCCCACTCCGCACTTGAACGTACAATAAATAGTATGATTACGACTGATCATAATACAGTAGTTAATCTGAGAAAATTATATATAATATGCATGTATTTGCTAATAATATTGAACATGAAGATAATACCTAATTTGCTGTGGGTGCTGCTGCGTCGGCGGTAAACTTTGCAAAGGTGGCATAGTTGACACTCCAGCCTGCTGCTGAATCCCACTGGCCGTGGCCTGTTGCTGTTGTACCTGTACCAAAGCAAAATACATATTATATCTGTACGATACACGAACGTACTTTTTGTAGGTTAAGCACATTGAGCCATTGACCGGTTATTAGGTCTATGTAACAGAAATACATAAATTACGAAATGGACTTAAGTTCTAAAACTCACTCGCAAGCCATCGCACATTCCATCTATCAGTTATCATTTTAGCAGTTCTTTTAGCAAAAAACTTTCACATTCTATCAGACTGTTATCATTGAAAGGTGAACAAACCGTACATCTTTATGGTCCTTAGCCGGATACTCGCGTGTGTAATTTTCGCGATATTTTAACGTGAATTCGACATACGAGGTACAATATCAGTGCAACGTGGAAGTAGTTACACATCATCATCAGCTATCAACATTATCAGATCATCAGCAGCAGTATCAGCTATCCGTCGTATCAGCATATCAGCATCAGTATATCAGATTAGCTTTGTGTGTTTTTGGAGATCTTTGTTAGGTAGCGAATCGGTTTTCCGGCCTCCCACCAGCGGGTCTCACCGGGAAATTGAGAAGGCGCACATATCTACAAGGGTTCCATAAACACCCAGCTAAATCAACATTATCTATCTGCATTTCTATCAGATAAAATCAGTCATGGAGAGTTTAATAAAGAAACAAGCTCTGCGTATGCAGAATATTGAAAGAATTTTCATCAATTTTAAAAAGGATGGGCCAGAACGGAAGACCAATTCAAATGTTAACAGAAGAATCAGCATGCTCTCTATATATTGGAATGAATTTGAGAGCAGTCATATGCAACTGATCGATCATCAAGATGTCGGTCACTACTTCCGTCAAAATTGGTATGAAGCTACGAAAACTTCCAGCAATGAATTCAAATCATCATCAATCAAATCAAAATATCTACATCGTTATTCCTTATATACTGAAGATCCAACATCCCACTCGAAACCCGCAACGCCTCAATTGGAAATGTTATCTACTTTACACGGATTTCCAAAACTAGAATTAGTGAAAACCCAGCAAGCATAATTTCGTCACCAGGGAAAACGAACACCGGGACTAGCACTGCGTCGCCTGCTTTTCCAGCACCTCCTGAAGTATATATACAACCACCCACAACGCAGGTACGATACTCCGAGCCAGAGCCGCCTGTATTTACAGGAAGGCATCGTAGTACGCCTAGCAAGTTAGAAGAAATGCTACGCAAACAGAAAAGCAACTTCAAGGCTTTCTCTCATACTATCACCAATATCAACTTTGATTCCTTATCAGAATAATGGGAATTCGAAGACGTATTAAAACTAGTAGATTCGCGTTGGAGCGCGATCGATTCTTTACATTGGGATATAGATAGCGAGCTCTATGAAGAAGACGTGGACTACGAGCGTTCAACAGATACGAGAGAGAGTACACAACTATCAAGAAGACCCTAAATCAGAAAATGTGGTCAGCGTCATACAAAACGAATACTACACCCGCTATGGACATTCCAACGTTCCACGGTGACTATCATAAATGGATATCTTTCAAAGATTTATTTGAAGAGACGATTCACAAAAATCGCTCTATGTCAAATGCACAAAAAATGCAGTTCTTGAAGAGCAAGGTCAAGGGTGAAGCAGAGAAACTTATACAGCATCTTAATATCACATCAGACAATTATCAAGTGTGTTGGCATATTCTTAATCACAGATACACTAATGTTAAATTGATCTTCAGTTCTCACATCAACATAATTATGTCTATGCCCGTGATGCAACAGCAGACAGCATCACTAATCAAGAAAATTCATGACACTACGAAAGAGTGCTTGAACGCTATCAAGACCCTGGGAGTCGCCGTAACTACCTGGGACCCATTACTTGTCCACTTCATATGCCAAATATTGGATGCTGAGACACACAAAGACTACATTGAATCAGTTAATTCGCCCTGAGAACTATCATCGTTAATAAGTCAATGTCGTTATCAGAGTTTTTCGAGTTTTTGGAAAACAAATTCATTTCACTCGAAGCGTCATGGAGGAAGCAAGACAGCAACACGCAAAAATCAGGCTTTCATAATTCGACATTTAATATGAAAAAAATGCCTCAGCAACAGAATAGCTCCAACCTCAATAAAAATCATAATATGAGCAATACCTATAGCAACAAGCCACTTGCGAAATCGTATCACGTGTCATCCACAAATACCTATAGATGTCAGCATGGCAAAGGTGCTCATTCGATTTTCTTTTGCGATGAATTTACCAAGTTGCCAAATGACATGAAATTGAAAGTGACAAACGATTTGCGACTTTGGATCAATTGTCTTTACGATCACAAGGGGAGTAAATGTACTTCAAATAAAACGTGTCGTAAATGCCCCGAGCAACATAACACCTTACTACACGATGCATTTACAAAGCCTTCAACTTCATCAGCATATATCTCGAGCAAAGAATGTTTCTCAAACAGCTCATCGGAGATTTTATTAGCTACTGCTCAGATCAAGGTTCAAGCAGCAGATGGCTCTTATCAGAACATGCGGGCGCTCATTGACCAGGGCTCGCAAATATCACTTATCACTGAAAATGCGGCACAAAACCTCGGTTTACCTCGACATCGTTGCAAAGGAGTAGTGTTTGGCTTTGGCACACAAGAGAACAACTGCAAGGGAGCTATGAACATATCAGTATCAGCCATACATGGCGAGTTCAATTTTACTACCAATGCACGGTGTTTCGTGTAGAACAAGCTAGCTGGACAAAATTGACATTAACATTTCCCAGAAAGGTTAATTACGGTAAGTAGGATATTAGTTGCTAATCACATCGGTAAGTATGATTTTTGCACTAATGACATATATTATTAGTAATAAGCATATGTATATAAGACAACTAGAAAAAAGCATAAAATTAGATGCATTTTTGCTCTTGATATGATAACGTCTCCTGAGTTGATTTTAAAAGTTGTGTTTATTTAAAGTAATGGATTCAGTAGCCAAGGGTAAGTGTTATTTTTTAGTACCATTATATTCGAAAAGCAATAAGGCATTTAATAGGAAATGTCTCGCAAAGTTGTTAAAGTAACTTTTTTTTACATTTTTCAAATTCAAAAGACTAAAACTAAAAATCCCCTCTTCTCCCTGGATCGATATTTTTTCCTGTGATAGGTACAGTCTTCTAGTTTATTATTCAAGTGGAATTTCTTGCTCGAAAAGTGCCCTTTTTTATTATCTTTTTTTTTTGCAGAAAGCAGTTTCACTGTCTCAAAGAGGGGCTTTTTTGAAGAATGGGTGAAACACTCAAAAAATGACCGTAACCAAGCTATGTATCATCATATATGCTTACTACATGATCTGAGTGGTATCACCGACCAGTCTGTGAGTATGATAAAGGAGACAATTTCGCGTTTTTCCTCAAAATTATTGGAAAAATGGGAGAGTTCCAGAAGAATAAAAGACCGCTGTCTAGCTACTAATGCAGAGTGGCTAGAGGGCGAAGACATACATTTTGATGTGTCGCAAGATATGGTGGAGGCATCCACTTCTTCCCAATTGCCACCTGGTGTGGGAAGACCATTGGTAGACTTGACAAACGCAAGTGCCAAAACAAAAAGATGATGTGTTGACGATTTGGTCATAAGTAGAAGTTCTGAAGAACTAACAGCGGTTGCTGAAATTTCTTCTCGGTTATCGGGAAAGAGGAACGCAGCCAAATTAATGAAAGGAGTCAGTGAAAGCCCAGAAAAGTTCATTGATTTTCAAAAGTGTAGTGAACAACATAAGCAACAAAGGTCTTTGACAAGCGAGGAGGCTCTGGCGTACTATGTGGACGCCAAATCCACAAGTCATACCTACAAACAGACACGGAAGTGGAGTATGCTAGCTGGGCATCAGGTATTTCCATCATTTTATTGTCTTAGAAAAGCCAAACAAGCCTGTTTACCACCAAATGAACTAGTGACAATAACTGAAACGCGAGCCGAAATTCAGCTGCAAGCCTTATTAGATAAGACTGCTCAGCGGTAAATATCAGCGCAACGTGAGGTTATTGACACTTGTTCTTCTGGTGGTGACTTATCATTCACTTTAGTTAGCAAGTGGGTTGTGACGGAAGCTCTGGTCACAGCACGTACAAACAAAAATTCGCCAATATAGATGATACAGATGAATTTCTGTTTGTTTATTCACTTGTACGTATACAATTGCAAGATCAACAGGGTCTGCAACGCTTTGACCGAAATTCCGTCAGCACAAAAATGTTATATTTGTGGAGCTACCCCAAAACAAATGAATGAAGAGTCCAAGGAGTTCGTGGCTAACAAAGACAACCTGTGTTTTGGTTTATCGACATTGCATGCCTTTGCAATTGCATGCTTTTTCATTGGATTCCTTGTTTCGAAATTCCTTGTTTCGAATGTTTACTTCACATAAGCTATCGTATTGATGTAAAAAAATGGCAATTACGAGACGTAGACGATAAAGCTCTTGTGAAACAACGTTCTGCAGCGATTCAAGTACGTTTTAAAGAAGAAATGGGCTTAAATGTAGATAAGCCAAAACCGGGGTTTGGCAATACTAATGATGGGAATACTGCTCGTAGGTTTTTTGCAAAGCGTGAGTTAAGTGCTGAAATTACAGGATTAGATGTGATTTTGATAAAGAATTTCGATATTTTGCTAAGGACACTTTCTTCCGGATATGACATAAATTTAGAAAAATTTCAACATCTAGCACAAGAGACAAGAAATCTCTATTTGAGTCTGTATTCGTGGTATTACATGCCTGCAATTGTACATAAAATACTTGTACATAGTGTAGAAATAATTCAATAGGCTTTTTTGCCAATCGGGCAGCTTTCTGAAGAAGCTCAGGAAGCTCGAAATAAAGATTGCAGAAGATTTCGAGCGGATAACACGCGAAAATATTCACGTATAGCCACGAACACAGACTTACTTAATATGTTAATAATTACATCTGATCCTGTGATTAACAGCCTCAGAGATATTCCGCAAAAGAAGTCAGGTTC